CAGTTAAAGAATGAGCAAAGTATTTAAATAGACATTTGTCCAAAGAAGTTACACCAAAAAAAGTATGTAAAAAGAGGTTCAACATTATTAGTCATTGGGAAACACAGATCAAAACCACAGTGACATGCTTCTTCACAACTGGGATGGCAATAATGAAGACAGAAAATAACAAGGTGTGGAAAAATTGGACCCCTCATACATCCAGTGTGAATAATAAGTGGAGCAGCTGTTTTGAGAAACAGTCTGGCAGTTCCTCAGAAAGTTACACTTAGAGTTAACCAGGTGACTTGTCAGTTCCACTCCTAGGTGTACATCAAAAATAATTGAAAGCAGGGACTTGAACAGTTTGTACACCAGCCTTCATAGCAGCCTTCTTCCTAATAGCCCCCAAATGGAAATAGCCTAGGTTGACTGATGACAGACAAAATATGATATATCCATATAATGGAATATTATTTGACAATAAAAAGAAAAGAAATATTGATACATGCTCCAACATGGGTAACTCTCAAAAAAGTACTCTGTGAGAGAAGCCCGGCACAGAAGACCACATATTCTATGATCCCAGTTATATGAAATGTCCACATGAGCAGATACGTAGAGATGGAAACTATATTAATGGTTAGGGCTAGGAAAGGGGGTGGTAAATGGAGAATGATTGCTAATGGGTACAGAGTTTCTTGGGGAGGGAGCAATTAAAATGTTGTAAAATTAGGCTTATAACCTTTTCTTTTCTTTTTTTTTTTTTTTGAGCCAGAGTCTTACTCTGGAGTACAGTGCTGTGGCATTATAGCTCACAGTAACTTCAAATTCCTGGGTTCAAGTGATCCTCCTGCTTCAGCCTCCCAAGTAGCTGGGACCATAGGCGCCTGCCACAATGCCTGACTAGTTTTTCTATTTTTAATAGAGACATGGTCTTGCTCTTGCTTAGGCTGGTGTTGAAATCCTGAGCTCAAGCAATCCACCTGCCTTCATAGCAGCTTTCTCTGCTCCCCAGACTGCTAGGATTACAGGTGTGGGTCACTGTGCCCAGTCTCATAAACTTTTTTTTGAGACTGAGTCTCACTATGTCTCCCTCAGTAGAGTGCTATGACATCACAGCTCAAGCAATCTCAAACTCTAGGTCTTAAGTGATTCTCTTGCCTCAGCCTCCTGAATAACTGGGACTATAGGCGACTGCCACAATGCCCAGCTATTTTTTTGTTGCAGTTTGGCGTGGACTGGGTTCCAACCTGCCACCCTCAGTATATAAGGCTGGTGCCCTACCCACAGAACCACAGGCGCCTCCCCGGAAGAAAGTACTTTTTGAAATATTTGTCACAACAGCTCTGTGAAGAAAACATAAGAAGGTGCACCCAAGATGTACACAGGCTCCACAAAAAATATAGAATGGCAATGAACCTTTGTGGACATAAGTGCAGTCAACGACAGGGCACAGTGACAAGAGGAACAGTTCATACCTAACCAAAGGGAAGAGTTATGAGAAAAGCAGTGAAAAGCTTACCAAAACAAGGTCCCTGCTACCCTTGTCCCCGGGGGAGAGACTAGAAATGCACGAAGGCACGCAGTGAGTGCAGCACATGCACCGTCCCAGCCACACATCAGGAGAAGAAGATAGAGTGAAAAGAACATGCAGAGAATGTGGTTAAAATGCTGTTACTTGTACAATGATATGTAAAATACATAGTTTTTTTGGGTGAAATTATAAAGCTAGTGATTCTGGGGTCACTAACTGACCTCCCCCATTGGTGTTTCTTGGGTACCAAAATGCATTGGTAGGCAACTTAGTATAAAAGCCTCTATAATGAAAAGATTGGGGCATTGGCATGTAGATATATAGATAGACTGGTAGAAAATATTGCTGCAGAATTAGACCCAAGTTCATATGGAAAGTTATATATTACAAAGGTGGTATTTCACCTCACTAGGGCAAAGATGTACCTTGTTCTTTTTTCTTATTGCAGTAATTAATATATACATAATATTTATTTTAACCATTTGTAAGTGTACAGTTCAGTGTAAGTGATAATGTATTGAAAATACATTTTCAATGCTATATACCCATTGCCGCTCTCTATACCCAATTTTTTTTGTCACTCATAGTGTAAATTCTGCCCAGTAAACAGTCTCCCCCTTCTCCCTTTCTCTTGCTCTTGGTAATTTCTGTTCCCCTTTCTGTCTCTGTGGATTTGCCTCATCAGTGGAATCATGCAATATTTGTCCTTTTGTGTCTGGCTTATTTTACTATGTTTAATATTACATGATTCATCCAAAATTTGGTTCCTTTGTGTGGGTGAATAGTATGCCATTTTATGTACATGTATTTTGTTTTTTCATTCCTCTGTTGATGGGTTATTTCCCCATTTTTGGCAGTTGTGAATAATGCTGCTGCTTTGAACATCAGTGTACAACTATTTGTTTGGGTGCCTGCTTTAAACTCTTTGGGAAATATACCTAGAAGTGTATTTTTGAGTCATATGGTAGTTTATGTTCAACTCCTTGAGGAAGTACCAAACAGTTTTCTATAGTGGCAGCACCATTTTACATTCCCAGAAACAATGTATGAGGATTCCAGTTTTTCCATGTTCTTAGTTGGATAAGCTTAGCTCTTGTTATTTTCCATCTTTTAAATTATAGCTATTCAAATAGGTGTAAAGGGGCTCAGAGTCTGTAGCTCAGCAAGTAAGACACTGGCTACATACACCGAACGTGGCAGGTTTGAGCCCAGGCCTGGCCTGCTAAACAGCAATGACAGCCGCAACCAAAAAATAGCTGGGCATTGTGGTGGGCGCCTGTTGTTCCAGCTACTCAGGAGTCTGAGGCAAGAGAATCACTTACACCCAAGACTTTGAGGTTGCTGTGAGCTGTGATGCCACTGTACTCTACCGAGGGTGACATGCTGAGACTCTGTCTCAACAAAAACAAAAAACAAAAAACAAAAAACAAAAAGAGGTGTGAAGTAGTATCTTGTTGAGTTTTGATTTACATTTTCTGAATAACTGATAATGTTGAAGACCTTTTCATATGCAGTATTATGTCTAATTGTAAGATATTAGGAAAACTTAAATTTGAAAGTGGTCAGTCAGATAGCACCTGTGGTTCAGTGAGTAGGGCACCAGCCCCATGTACTGAGGGTGGTGGATTTAAACCCACCCTGGCCAAACTGCAATAAAAAATAGCTGGGCGTTGTGGTGGGCACCTGTGGTCCCAGCTACTTGGGAGGCTGAGGAAAGAGAATCACCTAAGCCCAAGAGCTGGAGGTTTCTGTGATCTGTGATGCCACAGCACTCTGAGGGTGACAAAGTGAGGCGCTGTCTATAAAAAAAAAAAAAAAGAAAGAAAGAAAGTGGCCAAACTGTGAGACATCCATGTGGTGAAGTAATGAAGCTGTAAAGAAGAGAATGAGTGTGATCTCTGTCAGTGTTAAGTGAAAAAGCAAATCACAAGAGTATCTCTAATAAGAGACAGTAGAACCTTCTTAGCTGACCACCTCCCTCTACTGAGCTAATTTTCATAGACCAGACAGGCACCATGTGTCTGTAGCAGCACAGCAGGCCTAGTCTTTCATAGGCCTATGTACATCTCTTATGTAGGCGGGAAGGGAATACAAGACAATACACATACATGCTGTCATTTTTGCAAAATGAATATGGGAAAGATAAACCAGAAACTAAAGTGATTGGTAACCTGTAGAGGCAAAAGTGACCCCTGGGAGAGGGATGCAGAGGGGGAGTGGAAACTGGTAGTAGGAATGAGTTAAGGAGAGTCACTGAAGGGTGTGAGAAAGAACCAGCTAACGTAAGTCATTGGAAAAGGCATCGTGACTGGATAATGTTAAAGACAAAAAGAACTGTATGTAAATGCTGTCATTTGTACAACAAATGTATTTCTCACAGGAGTATAGCTGAGTGATTCTGAAACTGTGCTAAAATTTCACAAATATGTAAATGTTTTAGAACAGATGATAAGAATTGGGTTTCTCACAAAGAGAAGGCAAAAATAAATTCTTGGGTTATTGAAATCTGAATTGTGTGTGGTGTGTGTGTGTGTGTGTGTGTAACATTTTCTAGCTCTGTCCACTGGGAGGGATGGAAGTGATAATGCCCTAGTTGCAAAGAGACCTAGCATCCAGGTTTTACTGCGACTCACAGCTCTCCAACAAAAGGAACCAGAGCTCTTTGGAGAAGTGTTTTGATTCCCAGCACTGGTCAGAGAAAGTACTAGGGAGCTTTAAAATCTTGAAGTGCCAGAAATAATGAAATGCTTTTTTAAAAAAAAGGTGAGGCAGGAGTGCTGTGTTGAAAGGATTTGGGCACTAACCCACAGGGGTTCCTAATGGCCAAAGCTGGAACAATTTTAGTAAAATAAATAGGGGTATCATGAGATTATGATCTGTAGAATCCAGTAAGTATCCACGAGTTCACATTGATATCAGTAAATGGGGGAGAAAGGACAATTCTTTTTTTTTATAGCAGATTTCCAATTAATAAATGTGGAAAGCATGAGGGAAATAGAAAATTAGCATTAACTGAACACAGTAGTAATTGTTACAAACAAGATCTACTGATGGATGATAAAATTAGTGGGTGAAAGTTTGAGGAGAAACAAAATTGTGGTCTCCAAGTATCTCTCCCTGGATCTTCATTAACCAGGCAGGGAAGAATAGCAACTTAGTAGTGCTGAATCCTGCCAACAATTATTTTAACCAAATGAAGGTCACCACAGTAAGACACACGATGTGGTGCACTGCAAAGTTCACATCTGTATATTCTTGCCAAAAATACGCAACCTCAGTCTAGTCCTCAGAAAACAGCCACAGCCAAATGAAACATATCTGACAGAATAACTGACAAGTACTCTGCAAAAAAGAGTTAGAAGAGTTAGTGTCAATGAGAAGAAGGATGGAGGAATTATCATTGGAGGAGACTGAGGACAGGGGACAAGTAAACACAGTGTAGGTTTTTTTTTTTTTTCCTAGTGGCCCTAATGAAGTCTTGAGTTTTCTCTTTGAACATATTACAAATTTGTGTGTCACCTTATGAAGGAGCCATGCTAACCTCTGTATCATTCCAATTTTAGTGTATGTGCTGCTGAAGTGAGCATGTTTTAAGTAAACTTGTTTAAAAACATCTCTTTC